AAAGTTTTCCATAAACATATTTATGGTCTGAACCAAAAAAATTAAAATTTTACCACGACCAAAAAAAAAAAATTAAAATTTTACTGGTCTTCATTTCATTTGATTGTTCATGTACAGTTTATCTTGAGATATGTTAAGTTCCTTGGTCTTTCTTGTATAATAAATTATTGCAATATATATCAATTTGTTTGTGTTATCAGCAAGTCAATCTCTGAATTTGGGTAATGACGATATTTTTCCAACTTTCCTGTAAATGGTTGTAAAGAGAGAATAAATATATATGATTAATTCAAGTTCCAAAGAGAAACCATTACACATATGGATTCCAACAATATGACCAGAGCAAGAGCAATGAAGAAGAGGAGAGAGGGTTAAGTGAAAACTCAGAGACACATCATACAATACGGGAGAACAATCAATGGTTTGCTGCTAAACAACTTGAGAATCAAGAGTGTTTTTTTTTAAAACTAAGAGACTGCTGAGGAGACGCCGACACATCTGGAAGCACAGATACTATCACTCCTCATTAGACAAGCAGACCGTTTAACCGGAGTTCCTGCTGCTTTGTCAACTTGTGTCGTCTTCTGTGATGATAAGCAAGTCGCTGTGTTTGGAGTCTGTGGAGGTGTGACCATCACTGAAGACGAAGACGATTGGGCATGAACCGAATCAGCACCCTCGTCCTCTGATGAGCAGACCCGTTCTCTGCGGGAGGGATTTCAAAGAAAACGCAAATGGGTTATTATAGCCTGATTTCGCTTAAATTCATGGCGTGGTTCAGTTTCAACAAGTAACTCTCACCTAGGGAGTGAAGTGTACTTTCTCTGGATTGGTGGGGAGTTACGTTCATCTTCATCATCGTCGTTGTGTTCTTCAAGTCTGGCAAACTCTTGTTTGAACTGCTCAACTCCGCTGGATGTCAAGATGGAATCACAAATATCAGACCAAAATATATATTTTCTACGAAGAACCATACATTTTACTAGAGAATTGGGTCGAACCTCGGGTATAGAAAATGAGAGTTGAGGTTCTCTTCTCCTTGTAGATACTCTTGCAACATATGCGGATGATACTCTAAAATCTGTTTCATATAAAGAAGAGAACAAAACAGTTAAAATTCAAAGAGAAAGCTTAAATCATATTTTTGAACTCTACTCATATGATTCCTTGAATGTCTTTATTTACCTCTCTGTACATGAGTTCCCTAACATCATCCCGAGTCAGTTTCCTCCTTTCAAACTCAAACTCGAGCTTCGAGATAGGTTGCCTCGAAGGTTCATAGGCAACATTTGCTAATCCTTGAAAATATGGATCAGCCAATGCCTGCGGAAAGAAGAACATAAAAACATCAAGAAGCATGAAAATGAAAGAAAGTACACGAAAAAAAAACAGAATTTCGGTTTTTTTCCTCTTTACCTCTTCCGCAGAGGGGCGGTCCTTTGGGTCAAAAGCAATTAAACGCTGAAGCAACTTCAGCGCCGTAGGATCGATATTGGGGAATTTATGGGTGAAAGGAACAGGTTCCTTTCGCCTCATGTTACTCAAATACTTTCTAGCCTTCTCATTCCGTATCTACAGTTCCATTATAAACAACTTCATGACACACAAAACTAAAAAAAAAACTTGCATCCAAAGCAAGTGTATCTGGGAGAGAGAAGGCTCTGTATTGCGAGTTAGCTTCCGTGAAAAAATAAAAACAAAACAAACCCTGGATAAAGTTACTGGCGACGGAGTTCCAAGCAGATCCGTGACAAGTTCTAGCTGGTGCACAACGTTTTTGCCAGGGAACAAGGGTTTTCCAGTAAGCATCTCTGCAAATATGCAGCCAACGCTCCACATGTCAATTGCAGGTGTGTACTGCACAAACATACCGATTCCATAAACTCACACATTAAAGCATCTAGTATATGCATATTACTATGGAAACGGAACAAGAACTAACGTTAGAATAGAAGGAACCACAGAGCTCTGGAGCACGGTACCATCTTGTAGCAACATAGTCCTTGCAAAAAGAAAGGTTACTTAGAAAATGTATTGAATCATTCGAAGTCAAAAGCATTAAGACATACCTCACTGTTAAGAACAATAAAACAAAAATTACTATGCATTCACAACTCTCTGCATATTAGAATAATTTGTTCAAGAGCTAAATGAAATCACAATTGTAAAAGAGATGGATAGATCGATACATACAGTCCAGAAAACAGCAGAAGGGGCATCGGTGAAGGAGACACGAGCAAGTCCTAAATCGCAAATCTTGATTTTGCAATCAGCATTAGCGAGGATGTTCTTAGGCTTGAGATCTCTATGGAAAACATGCGCTACACAAAAACACAAAACAAACAGAAGCAAAAGATTTGATCAGAACATTATAAGTACTAACACACAGACCAACCAATTAAGAGGAAACAAATTCTAAGAGCTAACTAAACACAGTTTTTGAGAGAGGGAACAAAGAAACCTTACCTGAGTGCATGAATTTTAAGCCACGAAGAAGTTGGTACAAGAAGAATTGATGATGCTGAGGAGTGAGGTCATCATTTACCTTTAAGACATGGTGAAGATCTGACTCCATCAACTCAAAAACTACATAAATATCTTTGAATTCTTTCCGACAAGGAGGAAGCATTATGTGTTTAATCTCTACTATATCCGGATGCCGAAGAAGCCTTAGAAGCTTAATCTCTCTAAGAATCCTAATCGCATCAGAGACATGTTCAAACACATTCGTCATCTTCTTTATCGCCACTTTGCCTCCAGTATGTGGACATTCTGCAGAAGCAACAACTCCATAGCTTCCTTTTCCGACCACTTCTTGGATCTGATATTGGCTTGCTTCACCATACTCCGTGAAAAACTCTTTCTCCAACATTATGATGTTTTTCCCTTACTGTTCACAACAAAAGTACTTTAAATTCAATCGAAATTACATATATCGACAGAAAAAAAAAACCCCAGAAATGATTTGTAGTTTCTTTGCTTTGTAATTTGTCAGATCTAAACTTACAAACTTTAAGACATCAATTAAAAAAAAAAAAAAAACTTTAAGACAAACCCAGAAACATCCGATCTGAGTAATCCCTAGATCGAATGCTATATTTCAGCGAAATTTAACATATTATCCGCAAGGAAGAACACCCTAAAATTTCGCAACAACAAAAAACAGAGAGAGAGAAAAAAAAAAGCAGACCTTTAGATTATCTTGGAAGAAAGAGAAAATCCACGAAGCTGCAAGGAAGACGATGGATATGTCTGCAATTCAAAGAATGTACACACGCAATTTATATATAAATAATACAACATGAATCAGGAGGTTAAGACAAAACAGCTCATTTCAGCTTTTGCCTTATTACTTAATTTTAAACACATTTTAAATAGCGAGAATAAATACCTTTAAATAACTCGGGAAAACATTATAAACGCAATTTAGAAAGAGACAAGTTGCCAAAAAAATAAATAAATCCCCAGAAAAGAAAAAAAAAAAGGTTAGATAATCCAAAAATTGATCCTGAAAAGGACTTTTTGCTGACAAGAGAAGAGAATAATAGATTTGTTGATGATAAAAAAACTCAGAAATGAGCTGAAATCACTGTAAAAAAAAAAAAAGAGAGAATAAAAATAGGAGAAACGCACAAAGGCGATTAATATATTCCTAAAAATGCGAGCCATACCTTATCTTATCTTTGGATACCAAATTTCACGGAATAATTCAAACACAGAGAGAAAAAGATAATATAATCAATAATACGAGTTATGGAATACACGGCTCGTTGTTGCCGATACGTCTTTTTCATCTTACCCGGAAAGGACATCGTTTTTTTTTTTTTTACCGAATCGATGAAAGTCTCTTCCTCCTTCAGTGGTTTCAGATTTTCCCAATTCCCACCATTGTTGACCAACCTCGTAAACGGCGCCGTTTTCATGCGGTGCTTAAGATAGTGTAAAACGTAGCCGTTTGATGTTTCATTACTCTAATGGGCCGTAACCGTAATGGGCTTATATATCTCACCATGAATTTCAGAGTTGATATTCCAAAAATACTCTTAATGAATCAAAGTATTACATCGCATGCCATCGAATGATTTCGGATCATAAATACGTTTGGTTAGTGCTAATGGGCTTGGGCCTGGTTTTTTATTAGTTTTGTAAAATTTCGTTTGTCCCATTATTATTTTAGTAAAAGATTCGACTACTTTGTGATATATTCAAATTTTATTTAAATTTTCCATTCTTGTTTTAACGTAAATAAGAAATATTCTTTATTTTATTAGATATTATCGTATATTTGAAACCCTAATTTTTTAG